ATCAAGGATTAGGTTCATCAACCTGTTCCGGCGCCCATTTAGCACGTGGTCTTCCAACGTCACGTTTTACTTTCGGTCGACATTGCATTTGCCAAAGCAGACGTCTGCTGCTTGGCATTCTTCTTAGATGTTCGTACCATTTCTTGTTATAATATTTAACCAGCTTGTCGAGCATTGGTTCTATCCCGAGTTTTCCCCTTAGATCATTATTTCTTTTTTATATAAACTTGTATGTCCTAATGTGCTTAGAATAAATTTCATTTCTGCTACCTGAACTTCTGATTTATCTCTCTTTGTCATTACGCTATCTTCATTTCCGTGTGTTAAAATAGGCACAGCCTCAGTGTTGAAAAACTTTACTCTGGTATCTTTTCGTGTTTTGTTTCTCAAAATCCTACGAATTGTTCCACATATGTTTCGGAAATGGTTTAAATTTATGTCCAGGTATACGTTTTTTTAAATAAGAAATGTATCCTAGATACTTAAAATGTTTTACTTGCTCTATTATTTCTTCTTCTATGACTATTTTTCTTCTTACAGGAGTTTTCCCTTTAAATGCCATTGTTTTTGTTTAATTAGTAGAGATTTTGAGATTATATTTCTAAGTTAATTGGTTTAGTGCAAAAACATCTTTCTGTAATTTATCCTCATTTTCCTGAATGATCACTTGATCGTCAGCGTAGCAAGATATATTCCCTGGTTAATTACAATTTCCATGTCCTAAACATATCGTCAATATAAATGTTAAAAAGGGTTGGTGAGATACAGCAAACCTGACTTACTCCTTTGTTAGTGGGATATTATTATTATTATTATTATTATTATTATTATTATTATTATTATTATTATGACATTTTAAAAATATATTTCGTGTAAAGGCTTGGTTCCGGGAAATGAGGGGCTTAGTCACGCCAGGAAGTTAACCAGGTTGTTTAGCCCCATTTTCAGCTGCACCTAAATCGAGATAATATGCCACAAAAGTAGCACAAATTCAACAAAAATATTTGTCAAAATTTAGTTGTAGTATATCGAAGGTAAACGAACTCCAACATTTGCTTATGTCTTTTTCACAGACAATGCAAAGCCACTCTGTTCTAACAAATTCGATTTATATATTCATTTATTTTTCCATAAAAATCAATGTAAATCCAATTATTATGTTTGAACCCATAGAAAGTAATATTAAAATGAATCTTTAAAAAATAAATGCTTTGTGTATGCATTCCAGGTTGCGTTCCAGAAAATGGAGTTCCGTAGGCGAGGAAGTCTATCGAATTTGATCAGATCAAATTTCTGCTGAATGAAAATCGAGATAACCGTTCGATCGACGAGTCAAAATGTCGACGAAACGATTGTTAAAATCGGATTTTGGGAGAACTTAAGCAGACGAAGTTTGAGGTTTGTCTAGTCTTGTCTTTTTGACTCTCAGCCAAGTCCTGTAAGAATTAATTATTTAGTTTATTTATTCATTTAGTTACTTTGTTAGTTATTCACTGAGACGTTGGCCTTCTGACGCAATGCCTTCGCCCGGGCGGTCATCCTGAAGCCCTGACCTTGGGATCAGCGTCTGCACTTGGCCCGGGCCCTCTATATAAGCGGCCGCCCGCTTCTCTGGGCATCAGCTGACCAACAGCAACTACCCTCACAGCACCATGAAGTTCCTGGTGAGTACTCGCGGAGCACAGGAAGACGAAAAGATTGTCAACGTGGGTTTTTGAAAGTTTTGGAGTACAAATTTTATATCTTTTTGATTTTTGGTAAATTTGTCTGAGATTTTTACGATATTCTTTTCAATATTTCGTATGAAGTATCAGTTTCTCAAAACGTTGAATGATAACATATCATTTTCCCGTTGGAAAATGTTTTTTTCAATTTTATGTATTTACAAAACTTATTGAATAAGTTTTACAAAACATATTCAAGTTTTGAAGTATTTCGTCTGAGAAAATCCTCCCTTCTAATAACTTGAGATTGATACTCTTTTGATTCGGTCAATTTTTTATCCAAGAGTAGATTTTAACAACTACTCTAGTTTTGGCTAAAGGTTCTTGCAGAAAGAGTTGGATTTATATTTCGTGAACTTTGGTGCTGAAGCGGAGGACGTATGTTCGATGGAATCTTACCTACATTCGAAATAGTTGTCCGCGAAAAAACTTGTAGATCTCTGTGTCGTGTCAGTCTACGTCGGTTATAGATTATACCACACAAAATAAATGGTATAAAAGTCGAAATGTAGAAATACAAGCAATTCATGCGTCTGAAATAAGAATACCAAACAACTTTAATACAGAACATTTATTAAATACGCATCTCTGTAAATGTTCGCTTGGTGTAAGCAACACTTTTTGTTTGAGAATGCACTTATTTTGAAGTTTGGCTGTGAGTTTGCCTCTTTGTCTTCACAAATGATAAGATAACTCAAATTTAATAATCGATATTATGCTGACATTTCTACGTGAAAAACGTGTCCCATTTTCATTCGGACAGACGAATACTGAACAGCATTCTTCACCAAACTTCAGAAACTCAGGTGTGGATTGCCAGAGAAATGAAAATATGGCTCGCAACCATATTAAAGGTGTTAGTTTTGGCCATTGAGTCGTTGCAAGTTTGACACTGATACATCCACTCAATAAAAATAGTACTTACTGCGAAACTACGAAAACTGCAATCAAAACAGGGAAGGACACTCAAGTGATCAACATTATGCTTCCTCCACGTATCGTCAAAGATGGAAATGCTAGCGAAAAGTAGAAATGTGATTTACTAAGGCAGAGGCAGAGACTGGTGCCCACAAAAATAATGTTTCCAGTAATTTGATGTACTTATACGTTATTCTTTAATACAAGAATTCTTGGAGAAACTATTTCATAATGATACGAACATTTTACTTGCGGTTCCGTAAAATTCGAATAAGCTAGAAGTTTGATCCGCTGTATGTGATTTCCCTTTAAATGAATGCCTCTGAACTTGTAGTTTGCTCTGTGTCATAGCTTTATTCCGAATGTTTGGATTGAAGATTTCCTGTGCGTTGAACCTTTTCCCGGTTGGAGGTTCTGCGCCTTACCCCTCTTATTCCAAGAGTCTGTGATGCAGATTCTCTGCGCCTACCCTATTCCGAGTGTTTGCATTTAGGTTTTTCTCTGCCTTAGCCTTATCCCTAGTGTTAGTATTGCTAATAGAATGTGCCTCAGCCTTACCCTGTGTATTTGTGTTTTTGTTAGATTGTCGCCCTGGCGTTGGCCGCCGTGGTGTGCGCGCAGGAGACACGTGACAAGCGAGGCCTTATCGGCCTTGCCTCCCCCCTCGTCGCCACCCAATCCGTCATCGGCTCACCCGCCGTCATCGGCTCACCCGTGAGTACTCACCTCTGCTCACGCGCTCACCCGCAAATACTTGTGTATGTGGGAGTGAAACGTGTAATAAAATAGGAGCTTAATTATTATAACCTCAAAGAACTGCAAACAATGTGTAGACACCATAACACGAACATAGCCAACGTTAGTTCAAGTTAACAATACTAAGGGCACCCACTTTCAGATTTCTTCCGAGCCCAGGGTTCACCCGTGAGGGAAGAGAAAACAAAGATTTTTAATAATGGATGAGTATTTTTTAAAATTTACGAAGTAATATTTGCTAACTATATTTTACTTTTCAAAGTATATTTTTACTCAACAGGAATAAACAACAATATAAAATTACAAAGAGTTTTTCATTTTTTGAATGCATATAAGGGTACTTTTCTATTAATAATACGCCGTTGTATATAAAAGTAGGTTCGGAATAACAAAAGAAGACAGGAAAATCAATTTAAAATCCTCTTTGTAACAAGAGAAGATAACTGCCATTCCGGCCGTTTTGTGGAAGTACTACTACTGTAAAACGATGCCTCCATTAACGATAAAACGATGTTTTAAAAAAAAATTATGTTAGAGCAAACATTTACAAACAATTGTTAGATTTTTCTGCATTGGAAGTGATGAGGGGATATTGTATTTGCACTTCATGAAGGATTGCCAATGTGCGAACTCGAAGATAAGCTCAACACTCAAAGCACGGAGGAAAGAAATGGGAAAAAATTGGGGAAGTAAAGAAAGCTAGAGATCCACAGCCCGATGTTTAAGGAACCGCGCCAGCATCCGCCCACAATTAACACCAAATATCCTGAAAAATAGTTCCAATGGCATACGGCAGAGTTAGTTTCACTGCCATTACTAAACAGCTGTCTTATTTTCACCGAGATATGAAACTAATTTTAAGGTGAAAATTTCTTATTTTTTACCTTGTCTTTACCGAAGATAATGTAATCCCTTAAAAACGAAGATAATGAGGCATTTGGCAGCCTTATTAATGGATGGTTTCCCTCATCCCAAACGCAGAGTGGTCGGGGAGTGAGAACGGGTCGTGGTGTCGGGATGCATGCTGTTGGAGAGAGCTTATTCTTCCCGGAGTGAAGTGTTTTTCCTCGTTTTGTGCGGCAGGCTGACTCGCGCGCGCGCACGCATGCCCCGGGCGGCGCGTCCGTCTTCGTCGTGGTTCCTGGCCGCGCTCATCACCGATGCGTTCGCTCGTCGCAGCAGCGTCTCGCGGTGGGGGTGCGCTTCGCGGTCCTGCGCCAGCGGGGCGCCCTCTTTGTCTTCGCGCCTCGCTCCGTCGCTGAGACGCCCGACGCCCGCTGCCACGCCCAATGCGCTGGCCCCCCCCAACGCCAGCGCAAACGCAACGCCTCGTACACACCGTTGAGCTAATAAAGCACTTTTTAGTTACTACCTGTTTTTTCTTTGTCTGCTACTCACTTCTCGGGCAGCGCCCTTTTCTTCATTTACAGCCTCTCTTAAACAAGGTGAGGGTGTGCAAAGTCTTATATCGGTCTTTTTCTAATTTAACTTAAGCAAAAATAGACCAACTTTCTGATGTTAGATTCCAACTTCTACTGTCAATAAAAATAAATGAGGGGATGCCACTCCTCTAAAATGTTGTTTAGCGTTAAACCGTAATATTCTTTGGTTGTAGTAATATAGGCTCTTCCTGCTAGACAGGAACGGTGGCTTAACACTGGTATATTTAATAGAGGGCGTTACATTCTTCGGGAAAAACAATGTGTTGTAAGCATAAATACTGAGATACTCCAGTACACGAAGGGTATAACGATTGGTTTATATTATAACCGTTAATTTGAAACAGGCGAAGGGGAGATCGATGTGTATAAAGGACTATTTCTCATGAGTGATCGTCGGCAATTGGTGGCGCCGAAGAATGTTCCTAGTGACCGAAGTAGCGAAATTACTCACTGAAACCAGAAACATAATGGGTTTTCTGTTAAAAAGGTGTGAGACACTCTTCAAGAATCATATAAGAAAAATGCTTCACATAACTTCCAAAGGGTAATTAAAATTTAATTGTGGTTTAAACATATTACATTCTGACGGCTTCCCTGCGAGTACTTCCTAGAACTGCAGTAAATTTGTCAGGGACACTATAGAGACAGTACTGTGTAGTCCTTCAAAAAAGGATGTGTTTTATTGATCTGGAAATTCTGACAGGATATTGAACTTTTTGTTTTGTATTTGGTTCGTAATGTATTGATTCGAACAGCTAGGGTGAATATTCTTCAGCGTGGCCAGAAGCCATACATTGTTTATTCTTTAAAATATCAACTGAATTGAAATTCTTGTGGATAGCGTCCGACAGGAGGCGTTTACGCAGTTGGTCGTCCCCGATGTTTTCGGAGTTCATTAGGAATGGTTATTCATAAGGAAATGCCACTCAGGTCGTATTGCGTAAGCTAGGCATTGATTGTGAAAATGATTTTGTAGTTTAAGGTATTGCATTTTGGAGAGTTGAGTATAGTTGGGAGACATTCCTAGCCAGCAGAGGCGAAACGAACAGTAGAGTTCGGTTTTTTGTTAATAGTCTGTTGATAGTCCCACGCTATCGTTAATATTGACTTTTCACCATTAGTAGTATTGGGTAGTTATGAAAAAGCTAGCCGGGTTTCTAAAAATATATTTCCGTTCTTAAGTAGTCATTTTTTACAAGAAGCATGTGATTCATTATCAAGAGACAAGGTAAGGCCATGAATAATGCCCATTTAATATGTTTTCTCTTTAACCTATAAAAACGAAATTCATCGGCCGATGAATTGAACATGTAAGCAGCCAGTTGGTAAGTGCAAGTCATCTATTTCCGCTTGGTTGACATGTGAATGAGTTCTGCGCATGCTCCCTCGTCACTCGGACGGCGGGTCCGCCCCACGATAGCAAAACGGTTTTTTTTTCTTCTTTAAAAGATGACTTTTGCATCGGGCCGGATTAGGTCTGTTATATCCGGCGCCGGCTTGTCGCAGGCTGAGCATTCTTTTACGGGCTACCTCTGCACACTTCGTTCTTGATGCTCCTTGTTTTCTCATTATCTTCCTGTCGGTCCCTGCCCTCGCCCCGTCGGATATACTTCTTACAATATTCCCGGGGTATTTTTTGTCCCTTTCTTTAAAGATGTAATTGCCAGCTGGCGCCCCTTTTTGATGGTTCTGCGAGACGCTCTAAATGTGGAATTCTATAAAATCAACACATGATGCGACTTCTTCAGCATTAGTTCATTCGCTATTGTTTCTTTGATTTATCGTCATTTACGCAATTTACTATTATACGTAGCCTAAATAGTTTGCAAATGATTGTGAATGTGAGTAGTGAATAAAAAGTTAAGCAATTTTGCTTTCTTGTTTTGTCGTACTTCGATGTTTGGCGTGTGTGACTTTGGCTCCTTGTTGTGGAATATTGCGTTTCCCTCCCTTCAGAATTTTGTTTGTTAGGGCTTTAATTCAACTTAAATCTACCTTAAAGACAAATCACATCTGGAAGTATTCATTATTTTGGAATTATCTCACAAGTAATAGGTTATGGGTTTGTTTAGGTATATTTGTATAGACATTTTTTCAGGAGATCTCATAAAAATCTAATTAAAGCATATGAAACAAGGTCAATTGGATTGATTTTATCTATTATACGCTACATGTAGTTAGAGGATTATTATTCTAATGTTGTATTTAGGGAGATGTCCGTTTTTTTCGGCTGAAAACATTAGTAGCTATTGTTCCAGTGTGATTTCCTGATACGAAAAAGTGGATAATTATTGACGGCCTTAATTATGTTGCTTATATTACTTCCTTTTCATTAATACCTATGCTATGTCCAAAAATCGCATTCGGTTTCAAATTTAAATGTAACACGTATGGACACTCAAAACAATAAAATATTGTCTTTTACTTTTGTGTATTCATCATTACTTTTAAGGAAAGAAAAAGTAATGCTCGGTAAGATTTTCCGCTATGAGGCCATTGCATTTAAGCTTATTTTAGTGCATTAATTGGCCAAATATAGTGTCCAATTCTGTCATTGGTCTCTGCATGTGGAATCTCATTACATTTTCGGCTGCCGTTACTTGAAGTTTTACAGCATTCACGTCCACACCTTTTTATTGTTCGTTCGTTCTCGCCATGAGGACCACAACCCGTTCATTATTGAAAAATTTAAATGGAGAACATAAAAGTTTAAAGCATAATGTTGTCCTTTGAAACTATTTTTTTCTAAACTGCTACGTCCTTCCTGGATAGGTTTTATGTTGAGATTTTTATCTTATGTACCACTCTTCCTTCTTGGATTTGAGACACTTACACGATCTATTCTGTGGGTAATTTTCTCTGTGATCCCTTCTGTCTGTGAAAATCAGGTATGATACATATTCGAATGTACATGATGAGAAACCTAATAAAATGGGTTTTTGAGAAATGTTTATGAGTTTGATTGAGGCTTATACAAATTTTCTAGAAGGAAATGATAGGATTAATCAACCTGATTTGTAAGTGAACGTGGAATTATTGAACACGATCGGAGGCGAGGGTTCAATGTGTATGTTGATAATAACGTGAGTGTTAAGGTGAGTGTAATAAATTTTTGTGATTTCTCCGTTAGGGCTTAGTTTCTAGTTTGCATAGCAGCAGGGTGTCATCGGAAATCTCCAATCAAAAATGGTGTCGAAGAAATACGCGCTCTACTGTTTGTTTTCGTCTGAACTTACTCTTGCTACTTGTCATTAGTTAATTAGACAAAATTTTATTTTGACATGATGAAGTGCCTAGGTTTCATATTTTTACTATACTACATGTATCTTTAATCTAATACATTGGGGTAAATTACGGTCTTGGGGTCCTATTAAAAACCAGTAAAATTATAATTATTAATTAGGATAACATAAATATGTATAATAACACTATTATGTAGCTGAAACGTAAATTGGTAAAGGAATCGACAAGAAAGAAGATTATAGCTTCTGCACATTCGTGGGTGGATTCTGGGCT